CCCTCAACAGTCTGCAGAATCCCCTCACTGATTACACTGTAAATGATAATCTACCTTAACCAAAATCAAGGTAGACTATCACTCACCCACACCAGATGGAAAACTCTACAGACTGTCGGTTCACACCCCATCACAAGCCAGCAAAACATATATATATATATATATATATATGTGTGTGTGTGTGAATCCGGGGAACACTTACTGTGATCCATGTAGTCCTTGGCAGCAGAGCGGGCTACGAGCAGTCCCGGCCAGCGACACGGGCTACCAACAGTCCCGGGCAGCAACATGGAGCTACCGGTAGTCCTAGCCAGCAGCACGGAGCTACCGGTAGTTCAAAGTAGCAACACATGGTCCAGGAGGTTAATAACAGGTCACCTGAGGTGGGTGAGACACTTACCAAGATCCCTGTAGTCCCGGGCAGAAAGCAGCACGGGCTACCAGCAGTCCCGGGCAGCAACATGGATCTACCAGTAGGCAGTTCTACCAACTTCACCCGAAACAACTTCAGTAAATTAGCAGCAACTTCGGTGGGGGCCCAAAATTCTGAAAAATAAATAAATAAAAAATTCTGTCCAAAAAATATGTTGTCCAGAATTGCAATGCCACCATCTTTTGGCTGAGGGTCACTACAGGATCCTTATAAACTCGGAAATAAAAACTAAGAACAAAAAAATTGAAAAAATCAAACCGAAATATCATATATCGTGATATATGCCCCTTGGAAGTCAAAACCCCTTTCAACCCCCTCCCCATCCTTTCAAACCCATGTATACTACCTCTACAAGGCACTCTGCCCGTGGAACATTCAAATATATAACGCCCAGGCGCCCTATTCGAATATAAGGCCCGGGCGTTATATTCGCAGGGGCGTTGATTTTGAGAAAAAGAGAGTAAAAATGAAAATCTGATATTTTTATGGTAAGTTGCATATAACGCCCAGGCGTTATTTTCGGGTGAAGACGGCAGCCAGCAGCACGGAGCTACCTGTAGGCTGTAAATCAAAGCAGCAACACAGGGTTCAGTAGGATAATAGCAGGCCACCTGAGGTGGGTGACACACTTACTGTAATCCCTGTAGTGAAAAGTTCAATGTACGACACAACCAAGTGAATACACACTCAAGGTAAACGAGAAAGGGGAGTAGAAAGAAGTCGAGATGGAGAATGGAAAAAGTAGATGTAGAAACCCCGAGCGCATCAGCTCGCATAAAATTCAACGTGAAGCACAATCGAAATTGACGGAAGAATCCGCCGTAGCGTGAAACTCGACTGGCGAACGAACCCGACAACACAGGCTACCAGTAGTCCTGGACAGCAACGTGGAGCTACCGGTAGTCCTAGCCAGCAGCACGGAGCTACCGGTAGTTGAAATCAGCAACACAGGGTCCAGGAGGAGGATAGGAAGGCGCCTGAGGTGGGTGAGACCGTGATGCTGCCTGGCCGGTATTCCAATTAAGCGCTTGGCGACGAAGGAGGTAGACGACTGGAGCTGATAGCAAGGCGGAGGAAAAAGTGCCCTTGCTAACTATCAGCTCCGAGCCCTCTAGCTATGCTAAGGCCACTTTTTCCTCGTCCTTGCTCTAGCTAAGAACGGGCCCTTGCAAGGAAGATCACTTTTCCTCTTCCTTGCTGGAGTTAAGGAAAAAGTGGCCTTCCTCTAGCTGAGGAAGAGGAGGAAGCTTCACAGCTATGAGGTAAGGATTCTAGCAATGGCTCTTGAGGTCTTCCGACCAGCTAAGTGAGTGATGCCCAAACTAGGGCTGTGACGCCCAACCTCACGCCCAGCGCGACTTCCAGATCGGAGTGGGATGTGGGCCTGGAAGTGCGAAAAGGGGTGTGCCAAGGATTTTTGGGGAAAGTGGGGGAGTCTTAGGGGTATGAATGCAATTAGGCGAATGAGAGGTGCGTGCGTAAGGGACTCATGGTCCGATGGGCCGGGGCACTGTGGGCGACGGTTTACGGGGAAATCCCTCCGCGGTGGAGACGGTCCCGAAAAGTTAGGCCGTCGTGGGCCGCCACGTACTTGGATTGGGCCTTCGGAGGCCCGGAGTTCTCTGTTCCCCGCTACGTCGGCAATTCACGCAAAACATACCGGTGTCGGGCGGCTCCAATCCTACGCCGCCCTTTACTTCTCTTACAAGGGCGCGCTACAAGGTTTCTAATTGTTGGTTTCTACCTGACAGGGGCTCACCGACCACGGATAAATTGCCATGACAGGTTGACGGAGCGGATGGCTGGCCTACGACATTCAGTTCAAAAGGGCTCGAGCATTGAACAACAGTAATTTTGTGAAGAGGGCCTAAGACGTAAGCCACCGACGAACACAAAGAGGCCACCACAGCGAACAACTACCGAGGGGTTGGACGAGAGGGTACGACCGTGAAAGGTCGAGACGATACTAGAGGCCGGCGAAATGGTCGAGAGAACGGAGGCACCGGGCGTTTATAGTGAGGCTACGGGTGTTTTGAGCAGTGACGGTGTCCGAAGTTGCCTCGAGTGGCCAGATTCTCGAGGGCACCCTGCATGAATAAGCAGTGGGATAGGGCCTACGCAGGGGCCTCGACACTAAGAGGAGAACAGTGCGGGCCTAGGGCTCGGAGATGGGCCTCCCGGCCTAGAATTTTGGGAGGGCCCGCGTGGCCTTTACAAAGGGGGTTGGTACCACTTATGAGTGGGACCACCAAGGCCAAGGCAGGCCAAGGCAGGCTCGAGAGTAGGTCCGGTACCGGGGCGCTGCAAAAGGCCGGTTCCCGACAAAAATGCCCCCCTCGACAAAAACTGTTCGGGGGACTAATCAGGCCCGGGCGCAGGTTCGGTACCAAGGCGCTGCAACAGCAGCAGGCCCACGCCGACACTTTGGGACCGGAGGTGGGCTGAGGTCGGGAGCTGCAAACCTTATAAGCCCAACAGGGCTCATGTTGGGGGGACTTTTCCGCCAGCGCGGACAGAAGATACGCACGGAGCACCCGCACGGGGGGGAACGCTGAGGACACTCCGCACGTGCACGAAAGGGAGCGCACCTCTCGCCCGGAGGGAGGCGCACGGGACGGACCACGGGGAAGGCAACACCCATGAGACTTCCCGCATGCACGAACAGGGGGAAAGGAGAGAGCGCACGTACGGGAAAGGACAACGCGCAGCGAGGGGCATGGGACTTCGGGCATGTACGACTGCAACACGCACAGGCTCCTGGTACGCGCGTACGGGAGACACGTGCACAGGCAAACGGGGACTTATACGCACGCAGGAACGGGCAACGGGGGAACGAAGATGTACAAGATACTGGCGCACGGGAGATGGTAGGGAAAAGCGCACACTGAGAACGGCGCACGTCACCGAGCACCAGTGAGCGAGGACAAGAGAGCCGCGCGCTATTGCGCACACATGGGGAGCTACCAGCAGGGGAGACAGCGCGCTATTGCGCGCACACGGGGAGCTACCAGCGGGGGAGACACCGCGACATAGCGCGTATGGGTCACCCGCGGGAGGGAAGAGAGCCGCGCGCTATTGCGCGCACA